GGAGTCCTTTCTCCGGCGGCGCACCGTTGTATCCCCCCATTCACGACTGGAAATAAACCTCTCTTTCTCTGTCGGCGGCCGCGGCCGCGCCAACAATGGAAACGGGTTTTCATTCAGTCCGTGAATTCGCGGATATCTTCGCGGAGGACACAAGAGAGCTGCTCCGTTCGGAGCGAAAAGAGAAAGATAGAAACTTCGTCTCCAATTAGACCGCGTCAAAGATCCCCGGATATCATCGATCGCGGTTCCTTCGAGTGTTTCTTAATTGACTTCTATCGATGATCGGCTACCTCACCCCATCGCCGACTGCCGCTTCAAACAATGCCATTGTAGCGCGACAATAACGGAGTCGGTCGACTTTAATCCTCATTTTTGCCTCGGGTGGGTGTGGCTTTGTAATTCTTGGCGTTTGTCAATCTTACAATTAGCTGGGGCTCGCATCTTTCCTTTTCTCGGTAAAGATATCGAAGACAGTTGGGCGTATTCTATGGGTTGCCGACATAGATTTGGCGAGAAGAAAAAGTGCAGAACGCCGTCTTCCATCGATTCGAAATTCCAACGACTGCGATTAAGAAATGTTGGTCCACGGAGGGTTAACAGGCGGCAAGAAAAGCAAGGAAATCGAAGGTTTCGAGTGCTCCTTGATTGACTTGTATCAGCGATCAGCTACTTTGCCTACTCCACGAACTGTTGATCGAAACAATAGCATCGCAGTTGAACAATAACAGCCTTCGCAGTCCCGGTCATCTTTAATCCTCATTTGTTTGTCGTCGATCCGCCGGCAGAATACCCGTTTATTGTCCTCGAAAAATCCAACGGCGGGCATTAATGAGGAACAGCTCGGGATTAATCCTTTCACGGGCGGAGCGTAGCGCCGCGGGTGTCGATGGGAAGTCGGAGAATGGATTTCTGTAAATACGCATTCCGGCCGACGCGCACATCAGCCGGGCTTATATTGTATATACAATTTTCAGAACGCGCTTGAAAGGGGTGGGGCTTTTGTACGGCGGGATAGGCATTATCCGCTCCGTCATTGTGCGCCGGATAATGCTGTCTGACTGTTGCGAGCGGGTCTCGGTTGATGGAACGGGGGGTAAAAGAGTGCTGGGAAATCGAGGCAGTTGCCGGGACACTAATTGCGATAACTACGTATCAAGCCACCGCGGATGTTGGAAAAAAGGAGAGTGGAAGAGAGCAAGAAGCGGGACGGTTATTGAAAACGAGTGCCGCTCGGTCTCCCTGCCGGGACTATCCGATTTCTGGTTGAACGGCGCGGCTCCCTCGTTACTTGGGAATTGTTTCTCTGATTGGTTGTCCGGTCGGTGAACAAGAGGAACGGCTCTTATTCTCCGGCTCCGTGTCTCTCTGCCCTGCCCCCGGTTTCGTTGGATTTTCTTTTTAGTTCGAAGCGAGCGCCGCGGAGGAGCGGGAGCACGTGCTCGCCGATGCATCGCGCAACGTAGCGGGCACCGTCTATTTCTGCGGTACGTCGGGCTATTCTCAGTTACGCTCCGGGTGCATCGACTGTCATCGGTGCTCTAGGAATAAACCATCCGTCACGGCGAACCAATTCGACGCGCGCGCCCGTGTGTCCGTTCTCGTGGGTGTGTTCTTGCAGGTTAGACCCGCGGCGACCGATATCTACCCAGGCCGCAGTCGATCTCTCAGGTACCGTGGTTTCGCGTAACGCGTCACCGCGGCCGGACTTTGATAAATAGTTGGCCGTTGTCCCGCCTCCGGCAACGTAATTAAACGACTAAATTGAAATATCGATTTTTCCCCGGTGACGTCGCCTTTTCCGACCCGCGTCCGCGGACGCAAGAACCTCGGGAGGGTGCAACCGCGTCTATGCCACCCTCTCGCGCTCTAGCCTCGAGGATTCGATATCTTGTTGACACTGACGAGAGGAGAGCGCGAGACCTTCGGATCACGGATTTACTAGGTGCTTCGATCCGATGCTTCGTTTCGTCATTCCGCCAGAGAAAATACGCCGTTAGGCGATCCTGCTGTTCCGCCAACGAACACGCGATCGCAGTTTCTTTATTCCCTTCGAGCCGTCTCGTTCGAGTTCGGGGCAAAAACGTTCCGACGAAAGCAGAAAGTTGGCTAACTCTTTCTCCACCTAATCGTTCGATTCTTGCGCGCTCAGAGGATTTTTCTACTATAATGGAAGAAAAGTCGTCTGCGAAAATTATCCGAGATCCGCGAGTACATATTGAACTTGATGCCGTCATTGGCTTTGAGGCGGAATTCGCGGTAGGCGTGAAAGGTTCTCGAGTATCCCATATCCGGCAGCCGGCGCTAACTAACAAAGAGCTTTCAGCCAGGAAATTCGTTGGGCTCGAGGGGGCTGCGCGCGGGCTGGCTCCGTCTTTTGTTCGCGCTGGCGCGCGGAGCCTAGGCCGATTCAACGGCCGAGAATCGTTGCGTTCTCGGGGCTAATCTGTCCTTTATCTCTGGCCCGGAATCGCTCGCGACCTTCCGAACCAAAGCGAGTAACATTTGTCTCCGGGCGCAACGGGTTGGCACTGTCGCGTGATAAGAAGCCTACCACCTTCGACGAACGCCTGGCGCCGATCACTGATTATATTTATGCGCGATGCGACTCCGACCACTTGCCAAGGTCATCTCGACCTGACACCCGCCATACTTCCTTGGAATTGGGCCGCGGAACTTTGTTCGGAACCTACGGCTTAGGGGCGTGGCTAGGTTAACCCTGTGCTTCGATGAATGGCTACGCTTCGATACTAGTTTCCTGGGTGTTGTTCCACTTTTCTATTCGGGTACGAATTGTTCTCCTTATTTTCTAGGCAACAGTTTTCCCATTACCCTGATTTGCGCGTTTAAATTGACACGCCCGTCGGTTACGCGTTCCGAACGCCGCTCTTTAAGGTGCTATTCACCGGAGCAATGTCGGAGAAATAAATTTTTGGCGTTGAACCTCCGAGGAATGGTGGGAGGAAAGCCGGGAATCGACCCAGAACTCGGCCCGCTCCGCAAAGTGGAGCGTGGAGATGCTCTTTGGCGGCACATCCCGCCCTCCCACGGTTTTCATTTTCCTTCTCCTTTTTCTTTCTCGCGTCTTGCCGGCTCGCCCGGCGGAACACCTCCGACGCCCGGCCTCTCCACGATCCTCATTCCGCTCGGACGAGACCCGGCGAAAGTGACGCTCAATGTTTCCCCGACGGAACGATCTTCGTCGGTCCTGGCCACTTTAGAATCCTCCTCTTTAAAGTACACTCCGATACGAGTAAACAACTATTCGGCCACTTGGCGGTACCAACCGATTCTCATTTGCGAATATAATTCGCCTACTTGGGGAACTCTCTTATAGAAACGGGATACATGTACGTGCTATTTGAACCGTTTTAAAGTTGAAAAATACCAGACAACTTGTGGATCTGATGCTTAAAGAGTCACAGTCGACATTTGTCAACATATTTATTCGAGCTTAAAGCCAGTGATTGCTTTCAAAATGTTTGTTATAGCCGGTCATTCGAAAATGTTTCGTCGTTTAAGGGGAAACAGTGGGATGAGAGTCTGGTTTTCATTAAAAAGCTCGTTATCTACTATCGGAATCCGCTATCAGCTCCTCCGCAGGAGCGGATTCGTAGTTCACCGAATGTGACCAGGGGCGAGGACTCGAAACTCCTCTCACCCCATCCCGGAAAATTCCTTTCTCCGTTAAGAGGATCTTCGATTCGAGGCAATGAAACCTCCGGTCGCCCAGAAGTTCGTGAAACTTTCAATGAGGGCTGGTATTGTCCGAGGATTAAGGTGTGATCTAAAGACAGCGAAGCTGGAAAGTAAACCGGATGGCGTCGAGGAGTGAAACTTTGGCTTGCCCTGATTCCACAGGAAGATTGGCCCGAAATGATGTATCATTTCGCGGAGAAGAGGAAAACTTCAGTAAATTGCGTAAAATAAAATAATTATGGCCCAGATACTCGAATGAATGTTAAAACATTAATTACTTCGAACAGTAGTGTAATACACGGACGAGTGATGCCTTCGCCGAAATACTCGGAACATTGCCGAATTCATTTTCCTCGCATTCGAAAGGACAATTTTTGAACAGGCAGCATCCGCGTACGAAAACCTTGCAACTGCCCCCAAGCATTCGTTTAATCCTGACGCTAGAAATAGTGTATTTCATCGAGTGTCGAACAAAAAGTAAAAGAAAAAGAAAATGAAACACGTAACGCTGGCGATGAGCCTGCAGCACAATGCTGCAGTGGCCGACATGCCAATGTCGGTCGGACGTGTTCTTTCGACATCTCGCCTATCGACCGGCGATCGACCACCGAGTTATCAGTCTAGACGCGAGTTTCTTGATCAACGCAGGTCGCGCAACGTTGTTCGATGCAGTACGTACCAGAAATCGACTGGATCTCGTTGAAAAACCCGTAAAACACCTGACCGATTCATCCCCCGAAACGTCCGAGTCTCTGATCCCACCCCGCCATCTTGTTTCCCTCTGGCGAAGCAGTTCGCGGTAGAGTCGGTGAGCTGCGTAGCGATTTTCCGGTCCAGTAGCCGGTTAATTAATGAACAGATTCGAACGCGCGAACCGTCGGTACATGTGTTCGGCGCCGATCAGTTCGGTATGGTTCAGGGTTTCGATCCTTTATCGATCCCTCGCTGCAACCGATCTATCGAGCGCGACGCTCGGCGTCGCTCGGCTAGGCCGTCGACCCAGCGGCTTACCAGTCTAGTAGCTCATTAAGAGAACAGCTTGGTATAGGGCCTGTTAGTACAGAGGTAGCGCAACCTAGTTTCTCGTTTCTACGTCCCTTGTGTACGGTGTACAGTTGTTTGTTTGTTTGTTTGTTTGTTTGTTTGTTTATTTGTTTGTTTGTTTGTATATTGTCGTTGTTTGTTGGTTTTTTGTCGTTTTGTGATCGTCTACGTCGTCCGTATGTGTGTACATATTGTATGTATAGAGGACTGTTGCGACGTATCGGGGGACACGTTAACGACGCGATGATTTTCTTTTGCAGATCGCTGCCGAAACTCAGCAGCCAGGACGAGGATGGGCCGAACCCCCACACCCAATACACAGGCGTCACGCACTTCGAGCCCATACCGCACGATCATGACTTTTGCGAGAGGATCGTCATCAACGTGAGCATATTCTTGATCTTCTGGTTTTCTCGTTTTTGCTAACCTTGCGGAGGGACACCGTTTCAGAAGTTTCCATAGTTACTCTATGCATTTGATATTCAATTTTTTCAAGGTTTATTCTTTACGGCGCTTTATTCACATTCGATTTGGAACTTTTAATATTAGAACTATTCGTTATAGATCAATGTTAGTTGTTACAGTAGTTTTTACTAGTACAGTAACCATTTATTTCGCCATTTTTTCTCTTACTATTGTAATGACTGTCTATTTGAAGAGTAGCGGTTAAGGAAATAATTCGCCGAGCGAGTCAAACTTGCGGAGAAAATATGTCTTGAGAAATGGAGCTTGCCTGGGAAAGTGTTTAGAGAAAACACGACAGGTTGAATGCTTTCCGAATTCATTTGTGTACTAATTACCATAATTCAACTACCGGTGTAACGAACGTCGATTTCGCTAATGCGCGCGACAGACTAAAAAAAAAGCCTCGAGTTAAGACAAGAAGCCGATTCGTGTGATCGGTTTATCGACTTAGCGGGGAGTTATGGTGAAACTGCTCGAGAGCGAGGCTCGATTTAACAAAACCGGAACACGCGTGGATCGATTCAAATGTAAACTTTGAAATGCAATTACCAATCGCTCGCGCTTACTTACTGGAAGTCGTGAAATCCGAACGATCATTGGCGTACGAACAGTATACGATCGATGCGAAGCCGGTAACCACCTACGCGAGAAAATGAAGTGGCAAATCAGTTAATAACTGTTACGTTCCGCACAATTCTTCAATTACTTTCATTAGATTTTCCAACCCTTCGAATCCTAACTTCATTCAAACGTTTCTTTAAAGGATATATATAGGTCTCCCATGGAGTCTAACCTTGCTCCATGTTCCCGTTGAACAATTAACGATTTTATTAAAAATACCCCATCAATGACAAGCCTCTTCAATGAAAATCTCGAGAAAAAGGTCTAAAGGAACTTATTCCTGCGGTGGAATTAAATTTTCTCGTTCGTTTCCATTCGACAATTAGAAAACCGGTTAACGAACATTCATAGTAAACAGTTGCTTAAACGTTCTTGAAATTCCAAGGTTATTCGGCAAAAATTCAAAGTCGGACGAGATATACTCGCTTGGCTGTTAATTAAAAAAAGAAAAGGAAATCCAGAAATCAATCGCTATCGGCCATCTAATAAAATAATTTCCCGATAATCCGATCGCACTCGTTTCCCATTCGAATCCAGCCTCGAATTCGGAGGAGAATAGGTGTTAGTGGGGTCCGCCGATCGAATTAATCGAAATTTCCACGCGCTTTTTCCCGCGAGCGGTATTTCAAAGAGGGAGTAGTCGCGATATCGCGCGCGGACATTTCATATCTCTTCCAGCGGCCGGTTTATCGGAGTACCGACGGATAATTGGAGTCGAAATTCAACGCGTGGAATTCCGTAACGAAAAAAAGAAGAGAAAGAAGGAAAATAATGGAGCGAGAGACCGAGAAAAGAGAAAAAAGAATCCAACGACCCGTATTTGATATCAATTGTCCGGAATAACGAAGCGTACTTGTCGCCCGCTCCGTCGCGTCGAAGAAAAAGGTATAAAAGCGCCCGCGAAAACGGTTGGGAAACAGAGGCACGGGATCGTGAATCGCCAACAGCCGATACGCGTCTACCAATCGTTCCCTCTTTCCAGGAATGTCGTATCGATGTCCAGCCTGTAACCGATCACCTTCGAGAAGCAGAATTTTTTCAGGAAACAGTGAAATTTCGAAACAACCGTGCGTCTTTATTTTGATTTTTCATCGCTGGTGTAACAATAATTAGCAATTTCTCATTATTCGGAACTTTTGTACTTTGAAACTTCGTTTAACGAGAATGAATTTCGATTTCAGAAGTTTTAATTGCTAGTTCATTTTGATTCAACAAACTTCAGTTTCTGTGGTAAACTCAGTGGCAACAATTTTCATTTTGAACTAAGAAAACCTTTGAATCCCTTTCTATTAGGAAAAAGAATAACGCTATCTCATATAAATAACACACGTGGATTCGGTATATTACAGGATGCACGAAACGAATATCGCGATAGCGTATCGAGGATCCCCGTCCGATCGTTTCCATTAATTTCCATGTAAATTCGGTATCCATCATCCGCGTATCGCGGTACGTGTATCGTCGCGCGAAACCGGTCTAAGAACGATCCGCATTTCGATCGATCGGACCCCGCCGCGCGACGGTTTCCACCGTACGGGAGCCGCTGCAACGCTTCCCGGTTCGCTCGCTGTCCATCCATTCGCATTTCTTTTCTTTTCGACGGAACAAGATTATCTCAAGACACGAAGTGACCTACAGACCGTATTTTGGCAGCCGTCCAAGTTCGTCTTGGAATCAGGGCCGATATAGTACCAAGGTCGTATTGTGTGAACGGAATTATCTGTCCTCGTGGATGACACGACTGCATTGCGCCAATTACAGTAACCGTTCGATCGTTCATCGCGAAAAATCCGCGACCGTGTCGATTCCATCGGAGCGATCGGTTTCTCGATGCGCGGTGGAACCTCGATCGTTCCACCCATCCACCGAACAACGGTCCAAATAAATGGTTAGGTCTATCTCGATTTTCTAGTTTCTTTTAGGGGATCTAGGCATTTCCAAAACCATCTGTTACCGACTCTTTCGGTAAGATGTCTGGAAAGTATTCTTTTCTGCGAACCGATATTTAGCTTGCGAATACTTCAAGAAAATCTCATTTTCGCGTGCTGCTTTACGGAAACTGAAGTAAAAAGCAAATTGATCGGCAGTTAACGTAAACTCATTAACGTCCCCTCGTATTTCGTTTTCTAAACGCATAAGTCTGTTAACCTTTAAACGCTGCCGTGGGTGAAATTTCATCCCGCTACGATATGTGTTCTTGTAACGTGTCTTCCGTTGATGATAGCTTTTAAGGGTTGATCATAGAGTACGGTTCAATAACAGTCTGCGGCGAAAATGCAGCGAAGACGGGACGAACGGTTCCGTAAATATTCGAGCAGTTTAATGCTGAACAGAGATGGATAGGAGATAGAGAACTTAATGCAGCTGTTGTGTGGATAACACTGACCGAGAGCACATACGATCTAATGTAAACGTTCATGTTCGATACGCATATACGGGAACATGTAGTAATAGATTTACGTAGTTTACTCGGAATGTAATTTATCCGTAGCAGTAATTATATTCATACATATGATGCGATTGTGTAAGCTGGATTGTGTAAGTTGCACATGTGGACATTCCGCATTGTAGGAAAGTAGCGCAGATAGTTACAAGGCTGACTATTACGCATACACGCGTCACAGAAAATATTCAGACGATCTGAAGTGTTCCAACCATTAGTTCCTTAAAATATCTAGTACTTGAAAGCTTTCGGAAGCTTATATAAGCATAACACTCGGCGAAATTGCTATGGTATTCAAAATACGGTACGGCCAAACTTTCGATAGATGCGACTGTTCTGTGTGCATGGGTGACCGTTTAAGAAGGAAGCTTAATCCTTTTCGTTTAAACATGTTCCATTCGAAATCACGGAACTTATCTTCGAATCTTATTTTCCAAGTTAAATTTGTCCTAATAATTATGTTATTAATACACTGCCTTAAGATTTCCCTGGTGGTCGCCGGAATATTTCATGTTTATTAATTTATCGATTTGCCGGAAGAAAAGAAGTTTCACTTTCATTGCAGTCGCACATTTACTTGGAAGATTGAATATTGATCACGGGCAAACGGTATTGCATTTCATCGCAGATGAAACGAGAAATACTCATGTTTCTAAATTGCATTTCATTTGGAAATTGTAGTTTTCCTAGCAAATCTGACTCGATGTTATTTGTTGCTTCTATACAAGCAAGTTCATCTTAAGAAAATCATGAGTCGAAAAAGTTTGTAGTTACAGTTGATTTCAGGCGGTTGCCCGAGCGGTAAGTTCGAGACGAGACGCGTCGATCCAAAGACGATTTCCGCAACAAGTCTCGGCCGTTCGTATTCGTTCGATAACGGGAGTAAATATCGATCGTCGGTGGGTTACAGGCGCGTTTGTCCGCGCCGTCGCGGGTGCAATCCAATTTCTGTTCTGGATGGGCGCGTTTCGTCGTCCGTCCGTCCGGCCATCCGTTCGTCAGACCGTCCGCTCGCCACCAAATCGTGGCGGCATCGCCCGCTCTGTTCCTGAAGCCTCGACTGGCCGGCCTGCGACCCGAAGGAAATGGAATAGTATATTTCATCCGTAACAGCGATTAGAGCTCCCCGCCAACCTCCACCGCCAATCGAGACTGTCTCGTAATACCCGGGGAACAATAACCGCGAACTCCGGGCTGAATTACGTTTGCGCCCCCATCGCGCTTGAATGTAGCTTTACGCGAACCACGGCGCAAGTTTCTTTAAACGAGAAGTAGTTTGTAAAATGGGGAAATATGAATTGCGCAGCTGTTTCTGTGGCATGAATACTGGACTGCGGTTATTTTTAGACCCTCCTGCTCGGGATGTATTCAACGCCGGCTTTTATTTCGATTCCTTTTTCGATTGTTTCGATGAAGTTATTATTTTCGGTTGTACTTCCGGCCGTGCCTTCGGTGGTATTTTCTTGCTGACTTTCGTCGCTTAACGATGCCTTTGAAAACAGGGGTTGAACGAGAAATTAACCTTTACGTATCCTCTAGATCGTATCTTTGAATGAATTGAAATTTATGAGAATGGTTTAACAGCAACGGATTATCTACTCCTTTGGTTTCACGCGTCACTCGGTTAATACGGCTGAAGAAAGTTCGTACTTTTAAATATACGTGCACAGCAAGTGTACCCTTTCAACCAGAGCTTTCGGATTGATCTTTCTTCTCTCGATTGAAAATCAACGCTTTACAATTCAATCGACAAGCCACTGTACGATTACCTAGAATGGAAACGACGAGGAGCAGAGCAAAGGATGCTCTCTCACCGCAAAAACCGGAACGAAACGATTCACCGGCATCGTGAAAATGTCGCGAGGTTGACATTTCTCAACGGACACGGGAACCGGGTGTATCCACCCCCCGATGCACGAAACATCCGCGTTCACGTAACCCCGTCGAAAAAACGAACGTTTAACGAACGTCACGCGTGCCTTCGGAATCTCGGCCAAGCGGGTCCGCGGGGGGAATCGAATCGGCCCGTTTGTCCCGGACATATCGAGCGGATTCCTCGTTTATTAAATGTCAGCCGAAGTTTCCCAGCAGGTTGATTCTTTAATTCGCCGAGTAACGCAATATCAGGAATCGACGAGGGCCGGAGAGAGGAGGTCCTCGCGCCGCGACGAGACGCGTCGTCGATAAACCGAGCCAACCGACGACGCTCCGCGACAGTTATAACCGATACTTCTTCTTTTTCTTCTTAATCGTCCTAATGGCCGACCGCAATTACCCCAGTTTCGTTTATTAGTTTTCCGGTTGCAACGCCGCGGATCGACCACGGCCGAGACGGTAACGATGACGCGCTGCTCTGGGCTCTTACGTTCGGCGATGTAGACTTTCGATCGAACAAAGATCGGATTCGGGAACATCTGTCGCTCTATCTCTTTTTTTTCCAATGGTTCTAATACTCGAAGGTTTATAGCTGCTCTAATAAAAAGTAAATCCCGCATCAACGTCCCCAATGCCAAGAACAGGAAAGCAGAGTTAAAGGGTTCCCATTCGCAAAGGTTGAGAGGGCAGCCAGTCCCTTTCCCTCGAGTCGAACGAACGAGGCGGTGCGCGGCGGTGTCCCGGTCTATTCGTGACGGTCGAACATTACGGTCAGGTGTAACGACTGGTTACGCTGCTCGTTAAACCCCGATGACCAGCCGTGCCGTTAAAGGGGCAATCGTTCCGGGGGCTGCGGGTCTTTGCAATTCGACGTTCCGTCGGGAGACGATCGCGATGCCTTCTCCTCGGCGTTCCGGGCGATACGGGGGCTAGTTCTCTCGTCGAGCTATCAAAATCCTCTTACCCGGACGCTGGCGCTTCCGGTTTTACAGCCCGGCCCCCGTGAAAACCGAGACGGAAACGCGGAATGAAGTTTTATCGCGAGGGGTTGCCCTCTCCTCGAGATAATTGGGATTATACAAGATTCGTTCGGGCGCAGCTGCACTCGAAAGCTAGTTTGCAACGGGACACGCTGCCTCCTGGCTGGTTCGAGGCTGTTGTCTTCGGAAGCTCGTGTGTCGGTGTATCGTACGCTCGTTTCTTCCTCTTTTTCGTTGATGCGTTATGCTGCGATGCTACCGGTTGCTTATCGTTTCCCTTTCGTCGTGATGTATGACTGCATTACCTTATCAAAGGAAGAGGATACTCGAGAACCAATCTCAGGATTCGATAGATCGTCTTTCCTGTTGAGCTGTCTTTTCTTCTTTGCGGTCTTCCGCTGTCATGAATGTTTCCTGCGGTGACTTGAATTATATCGAATGGAACCTAGTGTTTCTTTGGAACTGTGGTACAGTTGAGTTGAAACGATAGCAATGTTTATCAACTGGTGCTGTAATCTCTCATTCCGTAGCATTCGAAGCAATAAGCAATCCGAATAGCGATAACAAGATAATTTTTTATGAAATGCATTCTCCAATTAGCTGGTCAATATTGTCAGGTAAAAAACTAGTGTCTGTCGGTAATCCTGCGATCCACGTAAATCTGTGAGAAGTACATCGATGCGCCGTGTATACCCTGATGCATTCGTGGAAAAGAAAGTCGCGGCAGCGAGTCGAATTAGTCGGGGCGTGGGCAAATTAATCCGGTGTCCCAATTAGCAAGGTATCGGCTGGCAAAAGGGGATTAGGGATAAGGACATGTTGCGGTGTACCAGCATAATCGATTATCGATTTCGATCCCGGACAGGTGAGCGGTTTACGGTTTGAGACGCAGCTGCGTACGCTGAACCAATTTCCGGACACGCTCCTTGGCGATCCGTCACGGCGGCTACGATACTTCGATCCGCTACGCAACGAGTACTTTTTCGACCGGAACCGGCCCTCCTTCGACGCGATACTTTACTACTACCAGAGCGGCGGCAGGCTGCGTCGCCCGGTCAACGTTCCTCTCGATGTCTTCTCCGAGGAGATCAAGTTCTACGAGCTGGGCGAGCTGGCCACCAACAAGTTCAGGTACGACCGCTAACGTTCTGCATTCGTTGTCGATCGACAACTTGAAATAGTATTTGGCTTATGAGCGAATCATAGAAATAGTATTTCTAATAGTACTTTAGGTCGTTATGCGAATTACCATTTTTCCTAGCCGTTCTGTAAACAGTAAAAGAATAGAAAGTTTCGTTCGTTGAGTAGAGGATTCCTCGTAGGAAAAATCATACAGAACTACCGCTTTATTGTATTAGACTTTATGTTGTACGAATTCGAATGCTTTCTCCTGTTAACGCTATCTATCGAGATTCGAATGCCAACGAGAGAGACATGAATACCGAGGACACGTTTAACATTCGAATAATGCAACATTTCTGGTACTGTTCGCGAACGAGGAAGCGTCTGCCCAGAAAATTTCGCGGTACAGTCCGCTCTCGTAATTGGAACTCTGTTAGCAGATAATTAGAATTTTACGTCCCGATCGAGATTAGTTGGAAAAGATAGTTAAACAACGGCAGCGGAGTGGGAAGGTTTGGAGACCCGTGGAAAATCGAAGTCCGGAGGTGAACTCCAATGGGCTCATTGTTCAGGGATGTTCAATCTCCTG